GGAAAGGGAGAACAGGTGTACAAAGGTTAAGGGTTGGTTTGGGCTACAAGTCATAAGRTACTTGTATTGTTTCTCAGTTTTCTTTCATAGTAAAGAATAGGTTTCTTCTTTTCTATGGATGTAGGCGATAAGGCCGAACCACATAAATTTTTGTGTTCTTTTTGGTGCTTGTTTTATTTGTCTTTGGTTGGATTTCATCATTTTTTGTTGCTATTAGATTTCTCATGGTTGCTATTTTAAATACCTTGTGATTTTATATTGTGGGTGATTGTTGTGAGAACCCAATACCAAGATTGTGCTCAAAACATAAGTTTAGATTTAAGTTTCATAGTCTTGATTTAAGGTAATATCTCTTGATTTTTTAACACATTTCACTTTATATTTTTTTCTTCACTATTCTATTAATAATTATTATTTACTATCAGAATGAACAATTAAGAATTATATGATAAGATTTCTTAAAGCATAATTTAAAGGCATCAAATGACTCCAATGTAAAGAGTAACTTGAAGGATGGTTTAATTTTTGAGGTTGTTAGCAATAGCACTTAAGCTATGGATATGCATAGTTAGTATTTTTATTTCATAAATCTAATATTTGTGTTTTATTGACACAAAAACAAGAATTGGAATCCAATACATGTTCAATAGTCTATAATCTTTGAAAACAAAATTTGACTAAGGGACCAAATTGCCCTGACTTATGGAAAATGAATTATGGAATGGATTATAATTTTACCAAAATTTGATGGGGGTCTCAAAGGAAGCACCTGGAAATAGGGCAAGTGTTTTTAAGAAATGGGATCAATGGGTTAACCTATTGTTTTTTTTTTTTGTGTGTGTGTGTGTGTTTTATGTTGTTTCTTCTATCTCCTTTTGTTTGTTTGTATGACTGGTGAACTCTCATTGCCCTTTATGATGTATCCCTTCTTTCCTTTTTAATAAAATTTTCTTGTTAATTTCATCATCATCATCCATGCATGTCATATCCCAACTACATGGGGTTAGCTACAAGAATCCTGTTTTGCCAATCCGTTCCATTTAAAGCCATATCCACTGTTAAATTATTAATGCTTAAATCATTTTTTACTACTTCTACCCATGTCCTTATTGATCTACCCTAAGCTCTTCTAGCCCCTTCAATGTGTAACAAATCATTTCTTTTAATTAGTGCAGTTGGTGGTCTTCTATGCAATGCTTTCTTTTTTTTATGTATTATTAAAAAAATAGCCTGACTTAGAAGACAAAAAGGAAAACATAGAYTCACAAGACACATTTATACAGAAGTATGTATATTAAAATAGTTCATTTTTTATGGATGGAGTTGGACTACAAGACATGTCCAATAGTTAACTTGGAAGACAAAAACATGGAGTTAGACGCACCATATATATACTTTTAAAATAGTTCATGTTTTGAATTCTAATATTACACATCTACAMAAGAACTGTTTTAATTAAAATGTTGCATTTGTTACTATGTAACATTTGATATGAAAAATGGCATTTGTCTTGTATATTAACTTTTCATTTGGCTGCATTTGGTAAGAGTGCAAATGCAAATATATATGGTTAATGAAAATGCAAACTTGGGTTTGTTTTATTGATAAATGTTGTATTCTTACCAAACATATTTGGTTGTAATGGGTATAAATACGAATTCTAAGACTAGAATCTATCCTTTTAGATTGACCAACTTTGAGTGCAAAAGTTTGCTTCTATTTTGAATGGGAGCAAACTTTACTCCCATTTTGAATGCAAATATGTCAGAAAAACAAATTTACTTTTATTTTCAGTACAAAAGTGCATCTTTATCAAATGCTTGCAAAACTGAACTGGTGCAAATTTGCTTTAGTTCAATGTTAGCATTCTTAGCAAATAGATTTATGTCAAATAAATAATAAGCAAATACCACTTAGATTAAAAGGAAATTTTATAAAACAATTGTAAGACCAGCTATGTTGTATGAAGTAGAGTGTTGGACAGTCAAGAAACAACATGTCCAAAAAATGAATATGGAAAACATGCATATGTTGAAATGAATGAGTTGAAGCCATGCGAAGATACTATGAGTAGCTCTAATAAGTAATACAATGAGAAAAAATAGACTAAGGGTCCATTTGGTTCGTAGTCGGAATCGGAATCGAAATCCTCTAGAATCGGAATTGGAATGGTCAATTCCCATAGTCTGTTTGGTTCAGACAGGAATAAGAATGGGAATTAAAATCAGTAGGAGTAGGATTTCATTCCCAAGGGAGGGGCAGGGAATGACCATTCCCTCAAATGGGGGAATGCCATTTCAGTAGGAATGGGAATGAGATTTTGATTCTGCCCAACCAAACAGTTGAATCGGAATAGCCTATTCCGATTCCGATTCCGATTCCAAACCCATATTCCTGCAAACCAAACGGACCCTAAGATGGTTTGGTCACAGAAGACCTTTGATAACACTCATAAGAAGTGATTTGTTACAAGTTGCAGGTAGAGGCGTAAAGTGGGTTGTGCAGGGCCAGCACAGCACGGCCCAAGCCCGCATGGGCCCGTGCCGTGCCGTGGGCCGGGCTGGCCCATGGGCCAAGCCTTGGCCTAAGTCAGGCCATGGACCGGGCCAAAGCTATTTTTGCCTATTTATTTAAAAAAAGTGAAAAAAAACTTAAAATTTTAATTTTATATGAATTTTGATGTATACAATTGCTTATATATACAATAATTAAATAAATTGGTATAATAAAATAAAAAAAATGTTTATTTTATTAATATATTATATACTATATCTATTATATAATTATAATTTATATAATATATTATATATTATATATAAATATTATGTATATATATAAATATATATAAAATATATATAAATAGTATATATGGGCCATGTTGGGCCATAGGCGGCATAGCCCGCTTGATCGTGTCGTGCCATGCCAACTTGTGGACTTCAAACTCCAGGACCAACATGGCATGAACCATCATGCAAAGCCTGGCACAGCTTGTGGGCTATTGTGTCGGGCCACGGATGGCCTGGCCCGATTTACACCTCTAGTTGCAGGGGCTAGAAGGATAAGGAACTAAGAATAGACCGAAAGGGACATGGGTCAAAGCAATAAGAATGATTTAAGCGCTAATAATTTAATAAGGCTTATAGTATTGATCAGAATGGAATGGTAAAATAAGGTTCATGGAGGTGACCCCATATGGTTGGGATAAGGCTTAGATGATAATGATGAAAAAGCTAGGAGATAAAGACATGTCATGTATATGTGTCCCTCAAGAATTTGTTAAGTATCAAAATCTAACACATGTCTGATGTGGACATAGTCCATTTAGAAGAGTCCATGCAACACTACCTGATATTAATCTCAAAAGAGTCTTGTGTTCAAGATTCTCTTTAAATATCGAAGTATAAATCAATGCCTGAGGAAAATGTGGTTGATACCAATGATTTAAAAGGCGTGCCTAGGCGCACAAGCGAGGCATATTTTAGCATAGGCGCCTCGCCTAGGTCTAGGCACAACTTTTTCAAAAGGTGCATGCCTAGTGCGCCTTGCACCTCAACCCATGCGTGCGCCTTTTGAAAATTTGATGCTTTTTTGCTTTTTCTTTTTGTGCTTAGTAGCTGGGCCAGGGGCTCCGACTCCGGACCCCCATGCCACGCCCCCCGAGGCAAGCCCAATCAAGTCCACGTTAGGTCTTAAATTCTTAGTTCCCACACAAAAAATAATGATTTTATAGTTTTAATTTCTTTTTAAGAAGATATTTTATTAGGATGAATGAATGAACAACATTGCCTCGAGGGGTGTGGCACAAATGCAGCTTGTAGAATCGGGAATGTAATATGTTTCGCATCACATTAGTTACTTGAAGTAATGTAATTGAAAAAAAAAAGAGATTGTGGGTTTTATATGTTTGATTTTATTTTTAAATTCTCATTTGAATATGCTTTACATGTCATATTTATGTATTTTAATTTTAGATAATAGGTTTTTAAAATATTTATTTAAAATTTAAGTTTATATTTTTATTAATATTATGTTTAATATATATTTTTTATTTTTTTGAAATTTTTTATTATTTTATTTTATTTTATTTACACCTTGCTTTAAAAGGCACACGCCTCTCCTTACGCGGGTTCGACTATGATATGGAAAATATATGATATCTGAAAAATTTCTGACCAATCAACTAGAATCACAAATGTGGTAGTCAATCAGGTGTTATTTATCAAAATTCATGAATGGGTTTTGATTGGTTAAAACTCTTCCCATACCATATCTTTTCCACATCATAGATTTTCCCCCTTACGCCTCAGGCACAAATTGACCCCAAGGTAGTGTTGGATAAAGTGTATAAAATAAACAAGCGGATATCAATAAGTTGGTCAGAAAAGTAATTGAGGTCAGGAAGAAGTTGGTTTTGATCTTTTTAGGAGGGAAAATGCCAGGAAGGTATTAGAATTAATAATTATACATATATAAACTAAGTTTCTAATGTTTAATCAGGAAGCAAGGGGCTTGAGACTTACAGGGAAAATGCTGTTCTCAGAGTGATTAGGTCAGTTGGTAGGGAGAGGGGGTTGTAATTTGACTTGCTCTTCTTATCGTTTTGTTGTTTGGATGTATGAAGGGTTGATAGAACAAGGTGGTTTGCTTCTCTCTGTATGGTGATATCTTATCACCTGATATTGTACTATTTTTTAGGCTCAATTTGGAAGGAAAACAAATACAAACATGTAGAGTGCAAAACCTTGTACATATTTTGTATTAGTACTCTTTCCAAACTGAGCCAAATAATGAATTTTCCTTTTCTATCTAAATAATCACAAACCATAATGAAACTATAGAGCATTCAATGTTGATAATTACCTACAGGTAAATACTGCGCCATTGTCGCTAATAATTTCTCCTAGTTACAATGAACCAGACTTGCTTTGTTCTGGTTATAAAGTGCTCCTTCAAAACTTTCCTGCAGAAAACAAGCCACAATAACAAGTGGATGCAAGTATGCAACAGAGGCGGCTCCAGTTGCAAAGTTGAAAGACAAAGATTGTCACCAGGACAATGATCACAAGCAGTTGGAACCTTGCAAATGGAAGAAATCCTAAACCACAAGAAATAATTAAAACAATATAAGAATTACAAACCACACTATTAACTCTATTGCCATTGGGAAATGGTAAGAAAAAAGAATACAAACTTCCCCAAATAGCAAATTCTAAATAGAGTATCAAACTCGCATTGTACATTTCTTTTGAGAATGTCCTAACATATGGCAACGGCCACATTGAACAACCCTCTTTGGGCGCTTAAAGCTCTCTATCCGAAGAACTTTCTTTTTAGGTCGGCCAGGTGGGCGACGAGTCCTGGGTGGGCGGATTATGATATCAACTTTGGCACCTCCACCCTCAGTTCCCTCACCAGGATCTTTCCAGGTACTCTTGTCTGGAATAGGATTTATCAATTGAGAATAGGCTTCACGATAGCTTGCTACTGTGAAACAAGGCTCAGCAAATAGATGAGCATTTTGCCCACAGGATATGAGAGCAGCAACAGCATGTGCACATGGTAAACCATAAAGCTGCCATCGACGACATGAACACTGCCGGCTACGTATATCCACAATGTTTGTCCGCTCAGTAGACACAATCTCAAATTCCACTTCATTTGCACGAAGCACTTGATAACAACGAGAATCAGCAATAGCTTCTAAAATTCGCTTCTCAGCAGATGGTACAAGAATTGAGTTCCAGGTCATGCCTATGTTACGTCGCTCAGTGAACCAAGATGTCAACTGATGACGGATATGCTCCATCATCTGTACAATAGGAAGTTCATGACCTTCTAGGGCCCAGTTGTACAACAGCTCTGTGACACCCAAGGTAAAATGACCATAGCGTACGCCTTCAAAATATGCTACTGCCCAAAGTTGAGGAGGAAATCGCTGAAACCATTGCATAACATCTGGTGAAATCTCTACCATCTCATTGATTTTGGCTTCAAATTCAGCAGCAGTGAGGGCATAAACAGCATTCCAGAATATGTTCACCAACTTTGTATTCTTAAACTCATCACGGAAATTTTCACTCGCATGTCGCAGACAAAATCCATGACAAGCACTTGGAAAATGTGTTTCTACTGCTTCTACCATGCCTTCTGTTCTCTCTGATAATATTGTAAGTCGGGGCATATTATCAGTATTTACTCCAAGAAGTTTCCGCAACTCCGACAAGAACCACATCCAATTTTCATCACTCTCCATATCAACTATGGCAAATGCCAATGGAAACAATGCGTCATCAGCATCAATTGCTGCAGCACAAAGTAAAGTACCCAGGTACTTCCCTTTCAGATGTGCTCTGTCAAGTTCCAATAGTGGCCTGCATGCATTTATAAATCCATAGATTGATGCTCTGTAAGAAATAAAGAGCCGTTGGAAGCAATTCTCTTGGCCAGTAGCAAACACTAATGCAATACTTCCTGGGTTTGTTCTTCTGATTTGCTCACAGTACACAGGAAGAAGGCTATATCCTTCCTCAAAGGTTCCATGAACTGCAGCCATGCTGCGTTCCTTTCCACGCCAAGCTTGCATATAAGAAACAGCAACTCCATGTTGTTCACGAATGTCTTGCAATATTTCCTTGGGTTTGTACTGTGGATTATCCCGAATCCGTTCTTCTACAGATCTGGCAACCCAACCAACTGAAGCTTGCTGATGATGGAGGTTACGAACTCCTTCACAAGTATGGTTTCCATGCAAGGTTCTAATTGAAAAGGTTGAAACACCAGGACGCTTTGCCACATGGACACGCCATGGACATCCTTCCTTGGAGCACTTGGCGATGAATCTGCTCCGATCTGATTTCACTATCCGAAGATCAAAATGCAATGCAATAGCAATCTCTTTTAGTGTCCTTCTACAGGTTTCAACATCAGGGAATTCTTGTCCAATGACTAATGAATGGTCAGCCACTAGTTGATCAGAAACAATTAAAGAATGATTGGCCATAAAACTACCAAAATAAAAAGCTCCAACTATTCAGCAACTTAAAAGCTTCCAGTCATGCCATTTTTATCGTGTATACTCTCAAAACATGTACTTCTCCCACATAACTATTGCATTAAACCTTTCAGAGAAAACCTCCAGAGTTAATTCTAAAAAATGAGAACTCTTCATAGTAGACCAACCACAATTCTGACAATTGGAGAGCTTGTTTGGGCCACTGCTACTGCCACTTTCACCATAAGACATTTAAATGCTGGAAAATAATTGCAAATTGTTAGAGAAACAAATAAAGACACAATATGCTAGAGTAAACATGTCAAAGGAAATTTACAATAACGAAGCCAGATAAATTGGTTGAACCATATCTACTAAGTTGTAGGTTTGGATCAAAAGATACGAGTTTCTATCACCAAAACTCCTGTCTTTCAACAGTAGAGATGGTGGATTAGACCTTTTCACTTAGAAGATCAACTTAATACATCACAATTTACATTAAAGGTTACAGGCCCGCATAAAAAAAATCTGTTCTGGAATTTTCTGCCCCAATTTATAGAAGTTATATCACTGGTCATTGAACCTCAACCCATTTTATCGATCTCATAGATCAAAACTATCAATCAAATGGTTTTAACCTAAGACAAACAGCCACTTATATCCCACCTAACTATGATGCCACCACAACCCGTTCTGAAAATATCTGACGGTAAATTCCTTCTAAAGCTGATATAGTGAATAAAGGGAGGATGCACAATGCCCACCATGAAAAGAACCAAGTGGAAACCACTGAATACCTTCTCCTTCACATAACAATATCTGTTTACTGTTTTCATCATAACAACATTTAAGATATTTAGATAAGATCAATTGTAGGGGCCTAGTTGTCAAGGCAACAAGGCGCCCTTTGAGGCTCGCCTCACCTAATCGCCAAGTAGTTTTGTACTATGTATTATAAAATACTTTTTTATTCTTTATTTTTTGACATTATAATTATAAAATAGGCACTATTAAACTAAAATATTCATTTTGTGTATTTATATACTAATTTCTTTTTATTATTTTCTTRTTTKYTAKGGYTTAWTCAAYACWRACAYTGYTAAMTKCTGTATTGAACCCTCAAAGACTTCAAAACCTGAACCAATAAGGAAGAACTTAAAATTTTGTCTAATCAAGACATTTTCTTCTTCTTTTTCTCTAACAAAAATAAGGGTTCAGCTCCTATATTTTTTGAATTTTCTTTTCCTTCTTCTTTTTCTTCTCATTAATATGTTGATTTTTTATACTTTAACATGAACTCTATACTTTTGTTATGAAAATTATGAATAATTATTAAGGAAATATGGTTATGCTACCTAGGGAACTACCCTAGGATCTATATTTTCTACATAAAAAATTAGAAAAGTATAGACAGGCCTAATGCAGATTTCTGAATTCCCCTGCAAATCTATAAACATTCAAAAGGTCAAAAACCCACACTCTATGCACCCATACCCGCCCGTGAATTGGCATCAATTCCGAGCTGGCACCTACCCCAACTGTACTTTGGGCCTATGAATTCTGACTCTGGGCTGAACAGTCATTCTCCCTAAAAAAATACATCACCTAGGCGACTCCTAGGCACCCACCTAGGTGACTAGGCAACAAGGCGCCCACAGTCACCTAGCCTCGCCTTGGAGCCTTGAAAACTATGGCCAATAGTTGGTGTAATGATAAAATCTTGGGCTGGAAAGCATGAGAACGCAGGTCTGAGTCTGTGGTCATTCACTTTGTGCAAAAAATTCCAAAGGTTAGGACTGTACCCAGTCTACCCCTCCCAAGACCCCAGATAGCTGGAACCAACATTGGATCATGGCCTTTTGGGTAAGGTCAATTGTTTAATTAGTGAATCATCACATCTTATATTGGATGTCTGCAATGCAAAACCTAATATGGACCACGAAAAAGTGTTTTGGATATGAGACTGTTCAACCACTTTTGAAGTAAAGTGTTCCCAAGAAGATTGTGAGGTCAGATATTTAGTCAGGAGAGAAATGTTATGTACTTAGTGTTCTTAATAGCTCCTAGGAAGTGAAGTACAAATAGTACACACAAACACAAACGAGAATAGATGAATTTATCAATCAGAAACTACAAGAGAATGACAGGAATATATTATATACTAATGGTGATGCTTCTTCTTCAATGGTCCTAATAGGCATTGAAGGACTTATCATGGATGAAGATGTACAGTTATTGTTGTTTTCTTAAAAATAATGGAAAAAGGTTCAAAAGGAGCTCGTTAACCACAAACTACTAGAAACAGCTCAAATTTGCCACAGGGTGTGGTATATGAAATTAGCAGCTAATCAACAGATAGAATCAGCCTTTGCAGATGCCTTGCTGAACTATCACGATGCATTTACGTCTTGGTTAAACGTTAAATACAACATGTTCCTCCAAGGCAGCAAACAAAGAGCAAATTCCAAACGTCTTTGGAACATCAAATTGATCAACTGGATTATAATTGGTTCATACATACAACAGAGCAACCACGCTGTTACCTCAGTCCTACCAGATTGCTGGTTCATTAAGTGGCTTCTGACGCATGTGAGAGCCCAAGCAGTTTTAATGAAACATACAAAGTCTAGCATAACCAAAACTAACATATTGAGAAAAGATTCTAGTCCATACCAACCAGTGAACAAAAATAAAAGATTTAAAAAGAAAAACATATGCGACACAGTGGATGAAAGAATTTATTTCGCACCAACAGAAATACAACTCAACTAAATTCATAAAATGAAACCAATTCAGCTCAAACCCGCAACTTAGAACTCATTGCTCTAATTCAACAACCACCAAACGGTCTCGTTCAACCCTAAACTCAACCTCATCATTTTATCCCACAGAAGACCCTAACCAAATAAGAACCGAACTCCCCTCTGGAATAACACATATGCAGACGAACAAATCAAATGAATTAGATTACCTCATCGTGAAGCGGCTGTCATCGGACGAGGAAGAACCGAATAACTAGTTCGAGACAGAGATGTTCTTATTCCCACTTCAAGAGAGAAATCCCAGCCCAATTGGAAATTTAGAAGGGATTCGGTAAAATCAGATTGGATCAACAAATTTCTTCTTCTTATTATTATTTTATTTATGGAATGAGTTTATAATACAGTTCCTGGCTTGAGAAGAACAGGTTTGATCGAAACCCTCGATCCCCTCGTTTGGGTACATCCGGAGAGAGAGAGAGAAGCTTCAGAAACTAAGCGATGGAAAAAGTGGGAGAGTGGAAACCATATCCAAATTTCAGTAATTTACGAAAATGCCCTAACTCACACTGTGCTGATCTGGCATGTGTGTTCGACACATGTAAATGGCTCCATACGGACAGTCTATGAATAGTGTTCTAGAAACTAATGTTTTAAAAAACGACTCGGAAGGAACTGTTCAGGCCACCGGTTTTCGGATGATAGTTCAACTGTTCAGTTCGAATGAATGGCTTGTTCTGATAAAAAAAAATAAAAAAATAAAAAAATAAAAAAAATAATTAAAATTTAAAAATGGCCAAAAACTATTGAACGGATTAAACAAGTCAATGGTTCGATTGTGTAGGTCAATGGTTCGTTGACCGATTTAATGGTTTTTTGCCAAGGATCGAGTTTAAGGTAAAATGGAACCAATTACTTGGACGGTTCTCGGGCCAACCATTTTTCCCTATGAGTCACAGGTCACCGATTTAGTGGTCCAGATTAAATGGGTCAGACTATGTCATATCAGCAAATATAATATATATTATCAATAAGTAATGCATAATTATATTTTAAATGTAATATATGTATTATTTTATATTTATATTTTTCATTTAATTTTTATTTTTATTTATTTGTAAAAAATACTACAAATTGTGATTTGAGGCCAAAAAGGGGCTTTTTTTTCAAAAATAATGGGGGTGAAGTACTTACCTTTAGTTCCTTGGGTCACATAGGTCTGGAAAAATTATCCAAAACAAAAAAACAAAAACACCCTAATTAGACATCAAAATACAAAGTCATGACCTCTAAAAGTTTACATATACATTTATTATGCAACTTATGACCCAATGACCGGGTTCGGTCAAAAGTTCAATAACTTGGATTAGACGATTTTTGACYAAGTCAACATTTTTTTCACCAAATACGAGGTTTTAGCAGAACTTAACTCAAAAAAAAGATGAAGTGACAGTTCAAACTTCAAACAATTCAACCAGCCATGTCAATACACGTTGAAAGCATTGCCTATAAGGAGTTTAGATGCTTAAACATCAACCACTCCACTTAAGTAGCATTAGGCTAGTGCTATTCCAAGTGGAGTAATTGTTTTCTCCTCAATTTGGATTGGTTCTCCACGGAACACATCCCACAGCACAAGACAACTCAGCATGCTCAGGGCCCATACTTGTCATGGAGAGATGTTCCCAATAGATGGTGGGAATATATTGTGGGGCGCATGTGAGGTGCACTTTATGAGCCCAAATCAGCTGTCTATATATGAGGCTGTTTTTGAAGGTTGTCTACTTCAACTTGGTTAAATTTTCAGCTTAATCCTTTCAAATAAACCTTGAGCCTGAGATGCTTATATAGTATGTACTTGACCAATATGTCAAAAGCCTTTCAAACTATTGGCATGCATGGAAGACAAGATGTTTAACTTTTAGGACCCTAACATTAACTCCATCATGCTCCCACAACCAATGTCTCAACCAAGGTTTTAAAAGGTTAAAAGTGGAGGCGAGGTAGTTGGGTGTGAAAGGCCTAAGCCTCGAACATAAAAATAAAATAAAATCTATGTATTTATATTTATTAGAAAAAACAAACGAAGGAAATATTACCTGACCCAACCTGAATTTGACAGACCAAGCTAACAAATTTTTTATTAAAAAGATAATCATATATCCAAAGTGCCAAACTTTTTATTTTCTTTTCATTTTATATTTTCTCTAATACTTTTTCCTTGGGTTTTTTTTTCTCATTATTGTTTAAAAGCATGGAGGTTGGTTTATTCTTTGTAGTTCCATTGGTTTGTTTGACTTTTAATTTTAGCTACATAGTCCATAAAGAAGTTATTTGGATGAAGTAACTTAGGGGTCAGTTGATAATAGTTGAATATGGTGAATTGAAAATGCTTAATGCTTTGTCTTTTAGTGAATAAGTCCAGGTTGTTAACTCCTTGATGGGTAACTCCCATTAATAATATTGTCAAAAAATGTCCTTATTTAAGCCTTGGGCCTTGCACATCACAAGGTTAAAGGCTTAAAGGCATAGGCCTCTAACAACTCAAGGCTTAAGCTTTGGCAATGGAGAGAAAGGCTATTGACGCCAGACCATTTTGGTCAGCCTCACCTCAGTAGCCTTTTAAAACCGAATCCGGATCTCCTACCCACAACTTTCTACCCACGTCCCTACCCATGCTATAAATTTTGGACACATGTCCACTAACATGTGCCTCTTCTTCACATGTGCAGAATTGCATATGAATTCAAAAGGATGTAATGGGACGGACGTTAAGTCCTTCCCATCAGATTTCACTCATTAACCCAATTAATTTTTTTAACCCAAAAATAATTACTTTCCCCTTCCCAAGAACCCTAATAGTCTCGTTCTCTCCATTCCATTCTCTACAACCTACTATTCCAAGAAACTTCATAGGCAACTGGCAACCAGCAACCGGCGATGTGCTCACCGGCATCTTATTATCTCCATGCTCAGTTGGTTAACCTTTTTCTTCTATTCTCCATAACATCTTGTTCGAAGTGATTTCACCGACGTCCGGCAATCGAGGACATGCTCACCGATACACCGGTAGATAAGTAACCTCAACCAATATAAGAAAAAATTGAGCATTATTTTCTTATAGTTCTTCCAACCAGGTTCTTCTCACCGGTAGTTATGTTCTGTTTTATTTGATTCACTTATTTTTTGTTTTCTTTTGGCCAAGCACAATAATCTCCTCAATTTATTCTCACATTATTTTTTCCCATATTGATAGTTTTCTTGTATTATTGCAGGTATTCCAATTACAGGACTTAAAACTATGATATTGATAGTTTTGTGGAATTCGAGCAAAGAGTTTTATTATATGGGTTGTCACTACGTTTTTCCATGACTTACTTCCTAACCATTGGAGTTTTCTTCTTGTACTTGGGAAGAGGACACACCGCTGTTGGAGACAAGAAAAACAAGGCTAAGCAAGAGAATAGGATGTCAATGAGCACATCCTCGATTGCCGGTTGCCGGATGTTGGTGGAATCTCTTGGAACAGAACGTTATGGAGAATAGAAGAAAAAGGTTAATCAATGGAGTACGGAGAGAATAAGATGCTGATAAGCACGTTGCCAGTTGCTGATTGCCTGTGAAGTTTCTGTAGAGGCACATGTTAGTGGATGTGTCCAAAATTTATGGCATGGGTAGGAAGCTGTGGACAGGAGATCCGGACTCTTTAAAACCATGGTCTCAACAGTACCATTTATAGGCAATTCCAATTCTAGCTCATTGGTGATTTGAACTTGAGATATGATGGTCGGTTCTAATACAATTTGTTAGAGGCTTGCACAATAACACCAAAATCCTTAAGATTGTTAGAACACGTCAATAGTGAACTGCGTTGTAGAAGACAACCAAAGAAGCTTCACCTAGAAAAGTTAAAACTAAAAGCCAGATCTCTTGGCTGAACTGAACAACGATATATTTAGGTTTTCTGGAAATTTCACTAAACATAGTTTAGTTTATAGGCCCTATAAATGGTTTTATTTTACTTTGCTTCAGATGTAYTAATCATAAATTTCTTTTTTTATTTTTTGATAGAAATAGGAGGAGCTACACAAGACGTTTACTAACTTGCTAATTAAATACTAATTAAATACTTGAATTTGGCTCCGACATTATCAAGTCAAGTTAAGCTTTACTCAAGTTGAGTTTGAGCGTTCGCGAACCTAAAGTTTCTAATAAAATATCATTTTCAATATATTTTTATTTATAATATAAATAAATATTAGATTTTTTATATTAATTTATTTATAATATAAATAAATAAATTTATAATATAAATAAATAAATTTATAATCAAGTTTTATAATATATTTGTGTTTATAATATTTCATAAAAAATGCTGAAAAGTATCAGAGTAAAAAACAAACTGGCCAAATGCATGTTTTACACTCTTGTGTGTTTGGCAAAATGGTGTAAAATCATTGACATACAAGTATTGAAAAAGTCATTTCAGGAGCCATTGGAGACAAGGAAAGGGAGGAGGTTGAGCAGATTTTTCTGGAATTTATTGTCGGAGGTAGATAGRCGATGGGCGATGGGACGATGAGATGCCTTAATCGACTGAGCGTCGTCACATAGAAGGAGAAGGCATTTGAACCTTGAACTTGACACAATGAGAACAAATAGAGAGAGAGAGAGAGAGAGAGAGAGAGAGGGTCATACGAGGATTGAAACCATGGCAGAAACAGGAGGGTCCTGGCAAAGATTGAAACCACAATGTTGAGGGTTATACGTTTCCGGCGAAGATTGAAACAATGTTGGAGCCGGTGATGAAGTTTCTGTTGAACCAATTCTGTTTTTGTCTCTGTTCCCAAGTGAAGGAGGCAGAGGGTTGCCGGAGCCAATGATGAAGCTTCTGCCTCTATTCCCATGGAACCGTTTCTGCTGAGCTGGTGATGGTTGCCATGGAGCCGGTTTCCATGAAAAATGTAGGTGGATTCARATTTGCCACTACAACTGGTTGCAGCGGCGGTTATGAAGAAGAAGAAGAAGAAGAAGAAGAGAAGGAAAAGAGAGAGAGAGCATGGGCGAGCGAGAGAGAGAGAAGGAGAAAAGAAAGAGAGAGAGAGCGAGAGAGTAGGAGAAGGAGAAGAGAGAGAGAAAGAAAGAGTAATGTAATAAATACATCGAAAATTTTGATGTATTTATTACATCGATTATAGATGTAATTCAATGGTAACATACAATTTTGGGTACCAAATGCTTGCAGAATCAAATCGGGGTTTAAAGTTTACCCCAATTCTATTTTACAACTTTACCAAACGCAGCCTAAGTAATTATGCTTTATGGCTGGTCCCACAGCTCGTAAAACAGTTATCAGTCTCAGTTAATTCACTGTCTATAGACTGTGACATGAAAACCCTCCTAAACAGATTTGGCTTCGCTGGTCGAAGAAAAAAAAAAGCTGACTGTTCAGAGACTTCGTTTATTTGTCTTTTTAATTAAAG